AATGCTTTCCCCTCTACACCACCAGAGCTCCTTCCGTTGCATGGATAGGCTATATTTTATTGATCCATTCATCTGCTGATGGATATTTGGATCATTTCCACTTTGTGGCTGTTGTGAACAGTGCTGCTATGCACATCCGTGTTCAAGTTCTTGTGTGCACGTATGTTTTCATTTCTCTTGGGTCTGTTCCTAGGAGCAGAATTGCTGGGTCATATGGTAACTCGTCGATCTGTTTGCGGTTAACTGTCTTCCAAAGCAGCTGTGCCATTTTACATTCCTACCAGCTCTGTGTCAGGGTTCCAATTTCTCCACATCTGCTCAAAACACTTATTATCTTTTTTATTCTTTTTGATGGTTACAACCTAGCAGATGTGAAGTGGTGTCTCATTGGGTTTTGATCTCCATTTCCCTGGTGACTAGTGACATTGAGCCTCTTCTCATGTGCTTATTGGCCATTTGTATGCTTGTTCTGGAAGGAAGGCCCTTCGTGCCTGCATCCTGAACAGTCAAACGTCAACCATCAGGGGAGAGCGAGGGGCGGAGGGGCTTCGTGGTTGCCTCCTGGTGGGTGATTGCCCCTCAGGAGGGGGCTGTGAATTGAACAGCCAGACTGCTCAGCATGGGGACCAAGTAGCATGGTATCCTACCCAGCTGGGCTTGAGAACATTGAAGATCTAACTCCTAAAATAGCTGAGCATAAATACTTCCCTGTTATTATAGTGGGAGCTCTGGTGGTGTAGCACCTAAGGCATCTGCCTGCTAACTTGAAGGCTGGTGGCTCAAACCCACTGGCCTCTCTTTGGAAGGAAGATTGTGCAATCTACTTTCATAGAGATACTGCCTTGGAAACCCAAGGAGGGGTTGCTATGAGTCTAATCGACTCGCTGGCAGTGAGTTTGGTTTTCTTTTTTTTCTTTTATTACTATACTTAGAAAAGGAGCTCTGGTAGCATAGTGCCTGCCTAAGGCACTTGACTGCTAACCAGAAGGCTGGCAGTTCAAACCCACCAGCCACTCCTCGGAAAGAAGATGGGGCAATCTACTTCTGTAGTGATACTGCCTAGGAAACCCAAGGAGGGGGTCGCTATGAGTCGTCCGACTTGACGGCACATA